GAGGGGGAAAGAAGAGAGAGAGAGAGAGAGAGAACATAAAACAAAAAAGATGGGAGTTGGAACTAGGTTGGGGCCAATGTCAAGGTCACCCAGCAGGGGGCGCTGGTGGTAAGAAGAAGTAGGAGAGGGAGCGAGCAGAGGGAGGGCTGCTGGGAAGTATTCCAATGAATCTAGAAATTAAAGGGGAAAAAATAACTCTTAACAGGCAGATTCCCATCACAGGGAAGAATGACCTAAAATGATACAATAGAGAGTTTAGTTATTATTCTGTAAGAAGCATAGGTGTTTTATTTCCTGTTCTGTTTTTTTTTTTAAAGACAAGTTAATATGTGCACACAATTCTGAAAGGTATGAAATAAAAAGTAAAGCCTCTTATTCTTCTAATTCCCATCTGCCTGATCTAGTACTCAGCATAGAGTTTCTTGGGTGTTTTATGGGAAAAAAATATAACAATTGTTTTAAAGGGATTTAACACTTTTACAAATAAATGCCCTGAAACTCTGTACCAATAATATAGACCCGCTTTTTTTTTCAATGATATTGTCATTGTGTAGCATCAATTTATTCAATTAATTACTAATTATTTTATTAGTACAAACAATAGCACAGTAAGCATCCTTATGTAGCCACCTTGGAGTTCATAAGCAATTACATTCAAATGAAATTTTCAACACTGTTCAAATGAGTATGTGCCTTGTTGGTTCTGAGGGACATTGTCATACTGTTTGCTAATTTATCAAATTTATACTTTACTCACAAGTACATAGCGACGTTTCTCTTCACATGCCCACAAATGTGGATATTATAACACTTTAGACCTATGGTAGGTGAAAAATTTTTTTTTTAAAACTAGCCTTCCTAATTTGAACTTTAAATCCACTATGTCAAATACAAAAGCATTATTGGTAAGAGAAACCTATTTTTTCAATTACTTAATTAAGCTATAAAACTTAGCCATGCAATTTCTCGGAAGCATGGGTTGTTTTTAGCTAGAAGTCTAATTAAATGTATTTCTTATAGTTGATTGGTTATGTAAAGAAATTATTGTTTTTTCTAATATGTTCATGTTTTAGACTACCTGATGACTTTCTTCAGAAGGTCTTACCATTTCAGATTCAAGTCAATAAATATTTACTAGGCCTTGAGCAACAAATATGAACTCAAACTGTATGA